GCCGAATATGATAGTTTTGTTCAAATCCTTGAGTCTCTAGCTGAGTCCTTGCTTATATATAATTGAATAATTAGTTCGGATCCCTATGCTTGCCTTTTCCAACTCGTTTGCATCGTACTGGTTTTGCGGTCCTTCGTCTTCATCTCCTGACTCCTCATCTTCTTGTTTTCCATCTGATTCCTCTTCTTCTTGGTCGTCCGACTGGTGCATCTCCTTCAATCTGGTTTCCGATGCGTCCAACATTTCTTCCGCAATCGTAATCTTCTTCCTTGCTGCAAATGGTACCACCCTAAATGCCATCATGGATCAGTCCAATACTGCCCCATCCAACTCACAGAGCACGTATGCTCCTCCCCGATTGTGAAACAGCACAATATAAGGCCCAATATAGTGCAGTCTCATTTTCCGATTGAGTGCCTTCTCGATCTGCGTATGCTGAACCAAGACTAGATCTCCATGCTGGAAGTCAAAATCCTTGATCATATTCTTGTGCACTCGCTCGAATCACCTGGCTGCTTCTCTTCTGGCTTTGTAGACTGCATTATGGATTCTTGCGACCTGTTCGCAGTACTTTTGCAATGCTTCAGCTCGACTCGTGATTAGGTCAATTGTTGTCACCATTTCGACTGAGGCTGGAATCAGATACGTTGCTTTGACGATGTCAAGTGGTAGGACTGGATGGGTGCCTGTGACTGCAAAATAGGGCAAACAGCCCATGCATCTTCTAACCGTTACTCTTTCCGACCAGAAAACGAAATGCGCGACTTGACTCCATTTGTGCTCCTCTTTGTCGGCAGCCTTGAATAGACCTTGCCAAATGTCAAAATGCAGTCGCTCAACTATTCCATTCATGCATGGGTTGTAGCCACTTATCCTGATGTGCTTGACATGATATTTCTTTTCCAGATAGGCTGCTGCTTTTACGAATGGTGCACCGTTGTTGGTTACGATTTCCGATAAGGCCCCCCCAGTGACAGAGTATATCCTCGAAAATCCAATCACCGAGGATCTTCACAGTTTCTGCTCAAAGCATATGGAACTCAGGATAGTGGGTGAGTGAACACTGACCCTGCACAATGTACTTGAATCTGTTTGAGGGTGGCATGTGCATTGTGTCGATAT